CACACTGACCACACAGACCCATTCTCTCACATGTGGGCCTACCAGCTTTCTCCCACTTGATTTGAAGCCGCTAGAATTATTGAGTATATATACGTCAGAAACATTGGCTCGTAAGACGTATTTATACGTCGAAAACAGTCAAAGGGTTAAAGGAGGGGTTTGGGATATTGGCAGTTTGGAGGGATATGTTGTGTATCTTTATATGTGTATGCTTCTAGACTGTTGTATTCTGAGCACCTCTGCAAAAACAGTGATAATGTGCGAGTGTGGTGAAAGTGTTGAATGATGATGAAAGTATTTTCTTTTTGGGGATTTTCTTTCTTTTTTGGGTCACCCTGCCTCGGTGGGAGACGGCCGACTTGTTGAAAAAAAAAAAAAAAAAAAAAAAAAAAATATGCACTGACCTTATTTATACAATTATTACAATATATCTTCTATTTTTTTGGTGTGACTAAAAATTTTGCATGAATAAAAAATCAAAATGGAATTCATGTGTATAGCCTGGAAACATAGCTAATGGACAAAGGAAATGTTATTTTAGTGCAAAGAATGCCTGCATCATTTATTTTGGACCCTATTTTGAAATTGGAATATTTTGAAATTTGTGTGAAATTGGCCAAATTATCAATTTCCGATCACTTTACTGGGTAGTTCAAATAGTTGACTGGGTGGTTTCTTGTGCTCAATTGATAAAATAGAAGGCATACTAGCAAAACAGCTAAGAATTTGGTTGACTGGAACAATGTAACTGGCCTAAAATAGGAGTCAAAGTGGCCAAAATCACCGATGTGTAGATATTGCTGACACAGCAAAACTCATGATAGCGTAATATTTTAAATTTTCCATCAAATTTTTTACTTTTTGTTTTATTACCTCAAAAAAAAAAAAAAAGATTCTGTACCATTTCATATGGAAAAATAACAAAAAATAAATTTTGAAAATTCTTGGACCCTGTGGACAAGCTTCAGATCAGGGGTCTGGACCATGAAAGGGTTAAAATAATAAATTTGTAATATAAATTTACATTGGCTCTTAACAGTTGCAGTGTGGAGAAAGAATTATTACTTTTTAACAATGTTTCCTGTTTTTTTTTTTTTTAAATCTAACACTGTCACAACCCCTGCTCACAAACTTGCGTTCAGTGTTGAAGAATTTAAAAAAAATATACTATATATTTTTTTTTCTTATGAAATGATAGAGAATATTTTCTCGATGGTGATGACACCAAAAGTATGAAATTTGATGTAAAACTTATGAAATTACACTCTCGCAAAATAAGCAGTCTCAGCGATATTTACGCATCTGTGATTCTGCTCACTTTGAGCCCTATTTTTGACCAATTCCATCGTTCCAGTCGACCAAACTCATAGCTATTTCATTAGAACTCCTTTTGTTTTATCAACTGAGTACTGTACAAGAAACCACTCATTTACCAATTTCAACTACCCAATAAAGTGATCAGAAATTGGTAATTTGACCAATTTCATACACAATTCAAGGAAGGCCAATTTCAAAATAGGGTCCAGAATTAACAACGCAAGCATTCCTAGAACTAAAATAACATTTTCTCTGTTCATCAGTCACATCTCCAGGCCCCTATTAAATTACACTTACTTTCCATTTTGAACTTTTATTCACACAAAAAATAGAAGATTTACTGTTATGATGACTATTGCATTATTGTAAAAATGATATAAATAATATCAACGCATTTGTGAAAGCATATTAGACCCACCAGCTGATGTGTATTGGACGCATGACGTGATTTGTTTACTCTTGAACATCGGCAAAAATTGAACATTTCCGCTTCTTTGAGCTCAATTTCAAGGTAGTTTTATTCCGTAAACCATTCAAAATCATCTTTAGTCCTGTAATATATCTTTCATTCCATCAAACGAGATTAAGAAAACAAGAATACAACCATAAATACCATACGAAAACACACAGCAAATTCACTGTTTTAAATGAAAAACATGGTCACAGTTTTTTTTTCTCATTATGCACTGCATGCTGCAGATTTTTTCATTATACTACACACACTGACCACTCAAACCAATTCTCTCATATGTAGGCCTACCAGCTTTGTCCCGCAAGATTGGAAGCTGCTTGAATTTTGGCGCACTATTATGAGACTGATACTTGCAAACCGTAATATTATGGGACCAACAGTGAAAAGGTTAAATACAGTGGACCCTCAAGTTTCATAAGGCTCGCGCTTCGTAAATTTCAACTATCGACAACTTTTTTCGTCAAAATAGCCTCATGGTTCGAAATTTGGCTTGCCATTCATCGCTCGTCCAAACGCGTATGAGTGGCACCCCACACACCATTTCCAGTCAGTGTGGCATCGTTTATTGGCGAGTGAACACAACCCCACGCATTCATACGATACATTTTGTAATATTTCATTCTTTTTCGTGCTTGCAACTTCTAATGGGCCCAAAGAAAGCTTCTAGTGCCAGCCCTTTAGTAAAGAATGTGAGAAACACGATAGAATTCAAGAAAAATCACTGCAAAATATGAAAGTGGCGTGCATGTGGCCCATCTTGCCAGAATGTATGGGAAGACCCATATAACCATCGCTTCCATTGTGGCGAAGAAAAAGGAAATCAAGGAAGCTGTTCTTGCAAAAGGGGTAAATATGCTCATAAATAAGAGATCACAAATACTCAATGTTGAGAAATTGTTGTTGGTGTGGATCAACCAAAAACAGTTAGCAGGAGATAGTGTTATGCAGTCGATAATTTGTGAAAAGGCAAGGCAGTTGCATGCCAATTTCATAAAGAAAATACCTGGAAAGAGTGGTGATGTTAGTGAATTTAAGGCCAGGAAAAGGTTGGTTTGAGAAATTTAAGAAGCATAGTGGCAAACGCAGTGTAGTAAGGCATGGCGAGGCCTGCAAGTTCTGACAAGCGTGCGGCTGAAAAATTCGTGCAGGAATTCAAAAACTATGTAGAGGCTGAAGGATTCCTCCCCTAACAAGTGTTCAATTGTGATGAAACAGGCCTCTTTTGGAAGAAAATGCCAAAGAGGACCTACATCACACAGGAGGAAACAGCATTGCCAGGACACAAGCCTATGAAAGACAGGCTAACTCTCATGTTCTGTGGTAATGCTAGTAAGCATTTCAAAGTGAAGCCTTTACTGGTGTATCACTCTGAAAATCCCAGTGTTCAAGAAACACAGTGTTGCCAAAAGTAAATTGTGTGTGATGTGGAAGGCTAACAGTAAGGCATGAGTCACGAGGGAAATTTTCCTTGATTGGTTCAATGAAATGTTTGGCCCGAGTGTGAAGAAATATCTTCTGGAAAAAAAAAAAAAACTGCCACTCAAGTACCTCCTGGTAATGGACAATGCTCCTGCTCATCCTCCAGACTTGGATGACCAAATGGAGGAGTTTAGTTTCATCACAGTGAAGTTCTTGCCCCCTAATACCACTTCTCTCATCCAGCCCATGGACCAGCAGATCATTTCAAACTTCAAAAAGCTCTACACCAAAATAATGTTTCAAAGGTGCTTTGATGTGACCTCAGACACTCAATTGACCCTAAGAGACTTCTGGAAATATCACTTCAGTATCCTTCATTGCATAGGCCTTATAGACAAGGCTTGGCTGGGAGTGACTTCCAGGACTTGGAACTCTGCTTGGAGAAAACCGTGGCCAGATTGTGTCCTCGATAAAGATTTTGAAGGGTTTGAGGCTGACCCTGACAACCCTATGCCAGTTGTGGAATCTATTGTGGCACTGGGGAATTCCATGGGGTTGGATGTGAGTGGCCAGGATGTGTATGAGTTGGTGGAGGACCACAGTGAAGAGCTAACCACTGAAGAGCTGCAAGACCTTCATCTGCAACAGCAACAGACCACAGCTCAGAAATTGCTTCAGAGGAGGAATAGAGATGGAAAAAGGTGCCTTCTTCAAAGCTTAAGGGCATCTGTGTAAAGTGGAGAGAGGTGCAATGGTTTATGGAGGAATATCACCCTGACAAAGCTGTTGCAAGCTGTGTCGGCAACATGTACAATGAAAATGTCTTGTCCCATGTGAGGCAAATTTTAAAGAGACACCAGAAACAGAGCTATCTGGAACAGTATTTTGAGTGACAGGGGTCCAGTGATTCTCAAGCTGGTCCTAGTGGCATTAAAAAACAAAGAAGGGAAGTAACCCCGGATAAGGACTTGGTACCTAAAGTCTGTATAGAAGGGGATTCCCCTTCCAAACAATAGTGTAACTTCTCCATTCTCTCTGCTCCTCCTGTCTTATATACACCAACAAGTCTTCAATGAAGGTAAGTGTGATGTTATTATTGTTTTATACTTGATGTCTCATTGTTTTCTGTATGTAAATCTATATTTAATGTAAAAAAAAAATATTTTTTGTTAATACTTTTGGGTGTCTGGAACGGATTAATTGGATTTACATTATTTCTTATGGGGAAAATGGTTTCGCCAATCATAAATTTCAACTTTCGTCACACTCTCTGGAATGGATTAATTATGAAATTCGAGGGTCCACTGTAATGTAATCCATGAATCTGTGAAAAAATTAAATTTTTATATTACTGAACTGTGACTACAATTGAAGAATAAACAAATGAAAAATGACTATAAATGTTTTATACTGTATAGTATCAGGTACATCTTGCTACTTCTACTTACACATAGGTCACACTACACATACATGTACAAGTATGTATATATACATACCCCTCTGGGTTTTCTTCTATTTTCTTACTAGTTCTTGTTATTGTTTATATCCTCTTATCTCCATGGAAAAGTGAAACAGAATTCTTCCTCCGTAAACTATGCATGTTGTAAGAGGTGACTAAAATGCCAGGAGCAAGGAGCTAGTAACCCCTTCTCCTGTATAAATTACTAAATTTAAAAAAAAAAGAGACTTTCGTTTTTCTTTTTGGGCCACCCTGCCTCGGTGGGATACAGCCGGTTTGTTGAAAGAAGAAAGAAGTATCATTAAGTTACATATTAAGGCTTCATTTGCTCACTTCATGTATATATGCAGCAACTGAGTTCAACTTCTTATCTTCACAGTCCTTCTTGGAAGTTGAGGGCTCCACTGTCAGCAATGGTTTGGTGCTTGATGCTGCAATATTTACTTGTACACCAAGAGAGGTTGGAGGCTTTAAAAAGTTCTCCTGACTAAATGTTTTATTCTCTTGTGATGTACCTGATGATTCTTGTGATGTACTTGATGATCCCAACTCAAACATGTCTGGTGAACTATTCTCTTTCTGGTCTGAAGCCTTCAGAACTTGTATTAAAGAACTCTGACTATCCTGCTTTTCAACAGAACCTATTGTATCTGTTGAATCACTTTTAGATACAATTTTAATTTTTCTTTTCTTGTTTTGAACCTTTATACTAGTATAGTTTGATAAATTCTCAGATGAAATATTGCAAGAATTGAAATTAACAACTGAAGATTTTTGTTCCAAAGCTGTAAATATCGAGCCATCACATTTCACAACATTTTCAGCATCACCAGATTTTGCATAGTTCATATTAGACCAAATATTATTAAAATCAGCCTCTTTGCTAAGTGCCTCAGCCATCTTCTTCTTCGTAGAGTCTGATATCAAATGTCGGGAGGGTCCTGCCTGGAAAGCTTGAGCAGACACAGAAGGCAGAGCTAAGGCTTCATTAGTTTCATATTCAACACTGATGGCTGGTCGACCATTACTCTTGGCTTCTGGTTGTGGCAACTGTTAAAAATAAAGATACAGCATGCATCAATTTACCTTTTAAAACATTGATATAGATTAGAAAAAGTATATACATAACATGAAAAGCACAATACATATTTTTTTTTTTTCAACAAGTCGGCCGTCTCCCACTGAAACAGGGTAACCCAAAAAGAAAGAAAATCCCAAAAAGAAAATCCTTTCATCATCATTCAACACTTTCAACTCACTCATACATAATCACTGTTTTTGCAGAGGCACCTAGATACAACAGTTTAGAAGCATATAAAAGATATATAACATAACCCTCCAAACTGCCAATATTCCAAACCCTCCTTTAAAGTGCAGGCACTGTACTTTACATTTCCAGTACTCAAGTCCTGCTATATAAAAATAACTGGGTTCCCTGAATCCCTTCACTAAATATTACCCTGCTCACACTTCAATACCTCGTCAGGTCCCAAAAACCATTAGTCTCCATTCACTCCTATCTAACACGCTAATGCACGCTTGCTGGAAGTCTAAGCCCCTCGCCCACAAAAACCTCCTTTACCCCCTCCCTCCAACCTTTTCGAGGACGACCCCTACCCCACATTCCTTCCCCTACAGATTTATACACTCTCCATGTCATTCTACTTTGATCCTTTCTCTCTAAATGACCAAACCACCTCAACAACCCATCTTCAGGCCTCTGACTAATACTTTTATTAACTCCATACCTTCTCTTAATTTCCACACTCTGAATTTTCTGCATAATATTTACACCTCACATTGCCCTTAGACAGGACATCTCCACTGCTTCCAACTGTCTCCTTGCTGCAGCATTTACAACTCAAGCTTCACACCCATATAAGAGAGTTGGTACCACTACACTTTCATACATTCCCTTCTTTGCCTCCATAGATAACATTTTTTGTCTCCACATATACCTCAATGCACCATTCACCTTTTTCTCATCAATTCTATGGTTAACCTCATCCTTCATAAACCCATCCTCTGAAAGTCAACTCCCAAATATCTGAAAACATTCACTTCTTCCATACTCCCTCTCTCCAATGTGATATCCAATTTTTCTTTATCTAAATCATTTGATACCCTCATCACCTTACTCTTATCTATGTTCACTTTCAATTTTCTACCTTTACACACCCTCCCAAACTCGTCCACTAACCTTTGCAACTTCTTTAGAGTCTCCTATAAGCACAGTGTCATCAGCTAAAAAGTAACTGTGTCAACTCTCATTTTGTATTTGATTCCCCATAATTTAATCCCACCTCTCTCCCCAACACCCTAGCATTTACTTCTTTTACAACCCCATCTATAAATATATTAAACAACCATGGTGACATTACACATTCCTGTCTAAGACCTACTTTTACCAGGAAGTAATCTCCCTCTCTTCTACACAACCCGAAGCTGAGCCCACTCTCCTCATAAAAACTCTTTACAGCATTTAGTAACTTACTACCTACTCCATATACTTGCAATATCTGCCACATTGCTCCCCTATCCACTCTATCATATGCCTTTTCTAAATCCATAAATTCAATGAAAAGTTCCTTACCTTTATCTAAATACTGTTCACATATATGCTTCAATGTAAACACTTGATCTACACATCCCCTACCCACTCTAAAGCCTCCTTGCTCATTCCAAATCCTACTCTCTGTCTTACCTTTAATTCTTTCAATAATAATCCTAACGTACACTTTTCCTGGTATACTCAGTAAACTTATTCCCCTATAATTTCTACAATCTCTTTTGTCCCCCCTTCCCTTCATATAAAGGAACTATACATGCTCTCCGCCAATCCCTAGGTACCTTCATCTCTTTCATACATTTATTAAACAAAAATACCAACCACTCCAACACTATATCCCCCCTTGCTTTTAACATTTCTGTCATCATCCCGTCAGTTCCAGCTGCTTTACCCTTTTTCATTCTACGTAATGCCTCATGCACCTCCCCCTCACTCACATCCTGCTCTTCTTCACTCCTAAAAGATGTTATACCTCCCTGACCAGTGTATGACATTACCGCCTCCCTTACTTCATTGACATTTAAAAGTTCCTCAAAATATTCCCGCCATCTACCCAATACCTCCAGCTCCTCATCTACTAACTCCCCTACTCTATATTTAACTGGCAAATCCATTCACTGCCTTGGCTTTCTTAACTTGTTTATCTCACTCCAAAATTTGTTCTTATTTTCATGAAAATTTCTTGACAGTGCCTCTCCCACTCTATCATCTGCTCTCCTTTTCCACTCTCTCACCACTCTCTTCACCTTTCTTTTACTCTCCATATACTCTGCTCTTCTTATAACACTTCTGCTTTGTAAAAAAAACCTCTCATAAGCTACCTTTTTCTCTTTTATCACACCCTTTACTTCATCATTCCACCAATCACCCCTCTTTCGTCCTGCACCCACCCTCCTATAGCCACAAACTTCTGCCCCACATTCTAATACTGCATTTTTAAAACAATTCCAACCCTCTTCAACCCTCCCCCCCACTACTCGTACTTGCACTAGCCCACCTTTCTGCCAACAGTTGTTTTTATCTCACCCTAATTTCCTCCTCCCTTAATTTATACACTTTCACCTCTCTCTTACTTGTTGTTGCCATTTTCCTTTTGTCCCATCTACCTCTTACTCTAACTGTAGCTACAACTAAATAATGATCCGATATATCAGTTGCCCCTCTATAAACATGTACATCCTGAAGTCTACCCATCAACCTTTTATCCACCTATACATAATCTAACAAACTACTTTCATTACGGGCTATATTATACCTTGTATACTTATTTATCCTCTTTTTCATAAAATATGTATTACTTATAACCAAACCTCTTTCTACACATAGCTCAATTAAAGGCTCCCCATTTTCATTTATCCCTGCCACCCCAAATTTACCTACTACTCCCTCTGTGATGTAGTTCAGCTGGGCTTGTGAGGTCTCTGGGGAGACCTAATTTAACCAATTATATGGTCACCTTGCCTTGGCAAATGTCTGTCAGAGACACGCCTTTCCGGCTTAAGACTGAGGTCTTTTGTTCTGGACGGCGTCAGATCAACACCACGTGTGCACACCTCATTGTGGAGGGTGCTTGGACCACCATAAAAGCCCAAGGAAGAGCATGATCAGGAGATTCGAGCGGAGCTGCTGCTGGGGTGCAGAGCTCCTGAGCAGAGACTTCGAGCGGAGCTGCTGCTGGGGTGCAGGGCTCGGGAGAAGGCTGCTGAAGTCTCTGGAGGAGACTGTTGGAGGCATTGGGCAGAGTACTGGCTTGGCGCAGTACTCGTGCTGTGTAGGTCTTGGGACCTGTGGCTTAGTTCCTGTGATGAACTGCCCTCTGAACTATATTGTAAGTTACATTCATTTTGGTCAAGTTGATTGTGTTCCCTGTCTCACTGCTTATGTGTACCACTCCATTTATCTAAACCACAATAATGTTCTGTTCCCAAATATATTATTGTACAAAGACTTAATAATAAACTGTGTTTGAGTAGAATAGTAATATTCACTGTCCCCTTTATTTATTCCTATTTCTTATATTTTATTATGTTTATATATGAGTGAAGAGTGGGCGAGGCATATGTTAGTGAGTAGTGTCGAGTTAATGAGAGTGTCGTGGTGGTCACCACTGACCTGTCATTACCTACGCCGCGCGTCACTCGACTCACCTCTCCTAGCCAATCCCCTACCTACTCCCTGCCTACTGACTCCCTTACTCCCATAAACCCCAAGTAATCATTCATTCCGATACCCCCCTACATGACACCTCCACAACATTTTTACCCACTTTAGCAATGAAATCCCCAACCACAAGTACTCTCACACTTGGTTCAAAACTCCCCATGCACTCACTCAACATTTCCCAAAATCTCTCTCTCCTCTACACTTCTCTCTTCTCCAGGAATTATCACTTGTAAATCTATGAATAAATGCTAAGTATAACCCACTTTTCACATCCAACCCTTATTTTACTCCACATAATCCTTGAATTTATACATTTATATTCCCTCTTTTCCTGCCATAACTTATCCTCCAACATTATTGCTACTCCTCCTTTACCTCTAACTGTATTTGAAACCCCTGACCTAATCCTATTTATTTCTCCCCACTGAAACTCTCCCACCCCCTTCAGCTTTGTTTCACTTAAAGCCAGGACATCCAGCTTCTTCTCGTTCATAACATCCACAATCATCTCTTTCTTATCATTCGCACAACATCCATGCACATTCAAACATCCTACTTTGACGGTTTTCTTCTTTTTCTTTTTAGTAGGCTATACAGGAAAAGGGGTTACTAGCTCATTGTTCCCAGCATTTTAGTTGACTTTTACAACACACATGGCTCACGGAGGAAAGATTCTTATTCCACTTCCCCATGGATAATAAAGGAAAAGCAATAAGAACAAGAACTATTAAGATAAACTTAAAGAAAATGCAGATGAGTGCATATACCTAGGTAGTATTTTGGTAAACAGCAACCGCCCAGGGAGGTACTACCGTCCTGCCAAGCGAGTGTACAACGAAAACCTGTAATTGTTTTACATGATGGTAGGATTGCTGGTGTCTTTTGTCTGTCTCATAAACATGCAAGATTTCAGGTATGTCTTGCTACTTCTACTTACACTTAGGTCACACTACACATACATGTACAAGCATATATATATACACACCCCTCTGGGTATTCTTCTATTTTCTTTCTAGTTCTTTTTTTATTATTTATTATCACACCGGCCGATTCCCACCAAGGCAGGGTGGCCCGAAAAAGAAAAACTTTCACCATCATTCACTCCATCACTGTCTTGCCAGAAGGGTGCTTTACACTACAGTTTTTAAACTGCAACATTAACACCCCTCCTTCAGAGTGCAGGCACTGTACTTCCCATCTCCAGGACTCAAGTCCGGCCTGCCGGTTTCCCTGAATCCCTTCATAAATGTTACTTTGCTCACACTCCAACAGCACGTCAAGTATTAAAAACCATTTGTCTCCATTCACTCCTATCAAA